CAATGGACATCAGTCGGAAATTCGCAGTCTAATCACCAGCCACACCGTGTATAAACCGTCGTAGTAGCTACCGCGCATGATTGTTGTTGCCGCTGACGCTTCGTGTTCACATCGGTTAGGGAATGCAGCGGCCAGTGTAGCAACGGTATCGCTCCAAACGGGCAGCATGTATGACTGACGTTCGGCGCCCATGTAGCGTTAGCATCGTACAGCGTGCGGACCGGCGTGGCGACAGCGACTTGTCGGCGTTAGCATCTTATGTGTGGACCAGCGTGACGACAGCATGGGAATCGAGCAGCATTTCCACCAGAGATTTCGGTGGTGTCAGGCAGCGTGCAATGGTAGTGACATCGGTCAGTGTCAGGCGGCGGGTGGGTTAGCAGAGATGGGTGGGGGCAGTCGGTATGAACCCGAGTGTTCACAAGAAAGGAAATTGCGGAATGAGACTCGTTGGGGCTTGGCGCGCGCTCGACGCCCCCGCACGCGAGTTTGAATCGTTGACCCTCCAAAGCGGCTTGTTTCGCGCCAAAACATTGCGAGCTTCAATGTTGAAGTCACGTTTTCGCCGGTGTCCTCGGTTTGACCAATCAAATAGCATTCCGATGATTCTAGCAGTCTGATTGGCTAGCAAAGTGATCTTTAATATACGCGTATGGCTACCTATTTCGATTATGGGTAGTACCTATTTTTGCTATGAGGACCAATTACCTTGCAGTAGTTATACCCGACAGCGTATGCTCCTTTGTCGGGTCCGTTTTGACGTAGAAAAGCGTACCTGAGGAAATGTAAGCCAGTAGTTCTGTGGCTGTGCGCTTCAAGACCACATCCTCAAAAAAGGTAATCCTAACTTTGATCCTGGAGGTAGTAGTTAGATCTCTACCACAGCATGTCGTTCGCCAATTTGTGTAGTATTATGCTCTGGGTTTTACAATGACATCTCCAGTTATCTTTTTAGGTACGTTTTGGTTGGAATTGGCTATTGCTATTTTTCGTACAATGATCTTTCGAACGGTCTGATTGGTCGGAATCACGTTCGGCACTGTTTAATTTCCAAAAAAAATGCGTTATGCAGAGTATCGTGAACGCATAAAAAGACGCCAAGGACAGTAAACAACGCCACGTGGTGCAGGCACCATCAGCTACAAGACACAAGCGTTTGCTGGTGGCGCAGCAACACACATGGTGCGCCGTTGTCGTCATCATGACGTCCCCCTTGGTGTCGATCATCAACCTGTCGATGACCGCCATCTCGGGGCCGGACTGGGCAAGGAATACGAGTGTGGCGGCGGCTCCTCTGATATCGCCGCCACACTCGTATTCTTCGCCCAGTTCGAAATCATCGCCTCTTCCACGATGCGTGCACCGCTATGTGGTCGCCGAGGCGTACGTCGGTAGTCGTTGTAGGAGGCAAGTGTGCGACCCGATTTTGGAAGGCAGGCCCTCACATTCGTAGTGCTGAGCGTTGATTCCTCAGTTGCAGAAGTCAAGTAGCAAGTAGGTACCCTGTATGGCGAAGTGGAAATGCACCGGCGTTGTGGGAATAATCTGAGTAGAGCGGTGATCTGTGTGGTGCTGTGTTACCACGCGCTCTGGTATTGTAAATATCGTTTTGAGTGTTGAAACTATTGTCCTGTGTGCTGCTCTGGATCGATCATACGACAATTTGACTATCATACTCTGCCCTCATGTCACTGTATATGAACCAAATTGTTTATTTTTATTATTATTCGAGCCACAGCTCGTACAGGTTGCCTTTGCCTCATTCAGTTTAGGTATTTATGCAAATAATACCGTTCTTTCTCATCCCATTTCTCTAGCCAATGGTAGGGTTCGCTTGGAGGTTAGCACATCATATGTCAAACCGACAGATTGCTCTTGCTCCCACAATGGCGATCGATAGTAGGCACACTTGCTGCACGTGCATGGCTCTCGTATATCCATATATTCGAACTGATCCGCGAGAATGTCAATTTCGCTCATCGCAATCCATAAGTTATTAACTTTGCTGAATGCGTTCTCCAAGATTTTACCTTCATTCCAAGCTTGAGCTCTCTGTTCGGTGCTCCGAACGTCTGCCATCTGGATGTCGACTTCAATTTTGACATCAAGCATCTCTGCTTTTTCGACAAGAAATGTTTTCAGATATTGCAGTCGGTCACGTATCATTTCGGTAGTTATCTAAACGTTGTAGTAACGAAAAGGTGTTAGTACCATCATAACATATACGAATTTAAGACTGGTCTTACGTACCTCTGAAAGCTCCATACACAGCTGCAGCCAGCGTACCATCCACACAAAGTGATGTCTGTAGTAGCCGCTGTATGGATCCTTGGAATGGTCGACATTCATAACGTACATTTCCTTTACCGGCAACATCTCAATAAAGTCATCAACGTCTTTGGTTGAGTGGAATACATTCTCAAAAACCTGCAATTAAAAAAAACGTTTGCATGTTAGCAGTTGTATCCATGACACCCTCAGTTTGAATGTTGACGCAGTACTCGATCTTTTGCTGGTATAAACACGGGAAGCAACGAGTCAAAGTTGAGTCTGCGGTGGCAGCTGAAATGAACAAGCGCGTCTTTTATAACGATCGGTTTGTAAATCTGCTCTCCATTGGACGCTGCAACTCCTGCAGTGAAAGGTAGCTGCAAGACGTGTATGTCAGTAAGAAAACTAGATTCGCTATTAGCACCACACTAGTTACCTCTGCCTTGTCGAGGCGCCAATCCATTCAGTGAATTCCAAGTTGCTAGTGCCAAGTAGATAGCTGTTTTGGAAATGAAAAATGCCAGAATGAGAGAACATCATCACCTGAGTCTCCTAACCGCAAGCTGCAGTTCAGAGACACTTCGTGGTGCAGTCTGCAGCAAGGAAGGAAGTTCGTATCAAGTAGCTTCTTTACGTTGCAGTTGGGAACCAGCTAATACTAAGAGTAGTACAATCGTACCTGCCTAGTATTAGATATGCAGGTACACCACTGCAAGTGGTATGGATTCGAAAAAGTGTGTGTTTGGTGAGAATCTAGAAAACAAACAAACTTGGAGCTGTACTTATCGAAAGGTCGCTCAAAACAATCTAGAAGAGTATGACGTGAAAGAGCGAGCTAGTAAGTTAAAAATGAAGTTCATCTAGAATCAGCATGTAATGGCCGGTAACCCTCATCTTGAACATCTTTGCGTGGATCAAACAGACTACGTCAAGAATGTTGGCAACTGCGTGCAGTGGCAATGAGCGTTTAAGCTTCAATGATGCAGCTGTCACCACTTCCACGCGCGGGGAGAGGGAGCAGAACCAAAGGCAGCGTTCACGACCGACATGTAGTAGCAGTGACAATACGGTCACTAGCAGCCGCGTCGCGATGGATTCCACGCAACAGTTGTAGCAGCTGTTGAGTCGGAGATAGCGGCGTCGTCGTCATGTCTCCCAGTTTGCTGTCGATCACCAAGCTGTCGATGGCTGTCGTCTCCGGGCCTTTGGTAGCAAGCACCTCGTTGCTGTGTCTCCTCCGATATCGTCGCCACACTCGTTTTCATCGCACTGGTAGCAGTACTCGCCTCCTCCGCATATGCACGCACCACCACTACGTGATCGTTTACCAGTAAACTAGCAAATCATCGCACGAGATTGTTGTTGCCGTAGCCGTTTCGCGTTCACATCGGTTACGGAATGCAGCGACCAGTGTAGCAACGGTATCGCTCCAAACGGGCAGCATGTATGACTGACGTTCGGTGCCCATGTAGCGTTAGCATCGTACAGCGTGCGGACCGGCGTGGCGACAGCGACTTGTCGGCGTTAGCATCTTATGTGTGGACCAGCGTGACGACAGCATGGGAATCGAGCAGCATTTCCACCAGAGATTTCGGTGGTGTCAGGCAGCGTGCAATGGTAGTGACATCGGTCAGTGTCAGGCGGCGGGTGGGTTAGCAGAGATGGGTGGGGGCAGTCGGTATGAACCCGAGTGTTCACAAGAAAGGAAATTGCGGAATGAGACTCGTTGGGGCTTGGCGCGCGCTCGACGCCCCCGCACGCGAGTTTGAATCGTTGACCCTCCAAAGCGGCTTGTTTCGCGCCAAAACATTGCGAGCTTCAATGTTGAAGTCACGTTTTCGCCGGTGTCCTCGGTTTGACCAATCAAATAGCATTCCGATGATTCCAGCAGTCTGATTGGCTAGCAAAGTGATCTTTAATATACGCGTATGGCTACCTATTTCGATTATGGGTAGTACCTATTTTTGCTATGAGGACCAATTACCTTGCAGTAGTTATACCCGACAGCATATGCTCCTTTGTCGGGTCCGTTTTGACGTAGAAAAGCGTATCTGAGGAAATGTAAGCCAGTAGCTTTGTGCCTGTACGCTTCAAAACCACATCCTCAAAAAAGGTAATCCTAACTTTGATCCTGGAGGTAGTAGTTAGATCTCTACCACAGCATGTCGTTCGCCAATTTGTGTAGTATTATGCTCTGGGTTTTACAATGACATCAGAAATAGTTTTTAGGCATCGTTTGCTACAATTGCTCATTATGTACTTTGGTTTAATTGCTAAATGGTTAAACTTGTTTTTATCCATTATTTCTCATCGTCATGTGTTTTATAGCCAGGAGTTCTCGAAAACTACAAGAAGAATTGCTAATGCAAACGTTGATTTTTGAAAATTGAAGCAGCGACTGAGACTTCATTTATTTCATGAACTCAGATGCACTTAGAGGATTCTCGACAAGCTGCTTACCGTAAATCAACGACTACGTCAATGTCGACGTTGTATCCGCAATGATGTCACCCATAGCGGCAGCATTCGTAGTAGCTACAGCAGGCATCATCAGAGCTGAAACGGGGGCAGGAGCAGCGACTGGGACAGCAACTGAGAAGGAATAGCTGCAGGAAGTGATGCACGCAACAGAACCACCACGTGACCTGCCAATGCACCCTTGTTACCACTTCTCGCAGCCGAAATCATACCCGCAACGTTGGACAGCAAAGCCGGGTTGGTCGCGATACTCTATAGAAGTCCGAAAATGTGCTCGGTCGTCATGGGACTGGTTGAGTTAGCTTCCGTACTCATAGCAATTATGTCCTTAATAATTTGTGCGAGTTGAATACGATCATTCGGTGACAAGAAAAATGTTGCTCCTTGTGACGTAGATGCTGTTACTGGTAGCAGCCATCATGTTTCTCAGAACCCCGTAAACCAGAGTTCGTGCCTTGATCGGAGTCCATTACGATACGGACGTTAAAGACAGCAAACAGGCCACAACAGCGAGAGCAATCGACGCTTCCATCGGTGGGCTATACGTCCTGCTCTTCAAACTAGTTTCCGTAGAACTGGAGCCAGAGATGGCGGTGGTGCATCGTGGTCCACCCCACGAATGATACATACATTCGCAACGCTACTTGAACAATTTCCCGGTCTTTAGAGCCGTTCGACTCAAAGTGCCACCAATCGTGCAGTCGTCGCTGGTCTCGCAGAACGCCTTGCCAGCCACTTCCTCCCACTTATTATCATTATCTTCGTACTCGTCGATGTGGGCTTCAATCCATTCTTGAGTCGGATGACTCGCTGGATCACAACCAACTTGCATGTAATTATCAGCTTCGAGATCCGTCGCCAAGTCCTGATACAGACGGATGTGGTCGATCTTCATGTACATCGGGAACGAGTCGCAGATAACGTTCGTCACAGGATCTTTTCCATCACCACGACATTCCTTGCCTGGGTTGGGCGGCGTCGCACACCAAGAACTGGACAGCGACACGTTGAAAATCACATACAAAGGCTCCTATTTCTTCGGGTTGTTCTTTTTCGCATTCTGCAGGACGTTGACGATCGAATCCGTCGTGACTTCGAACAGAGGCTCGCCGTGAAGCATCCAGCGTACATATCCATTCTTGCCTGTAACCCACTCCACTTGGTAGTCGTAGAAACCCGTGTACGCGCCGAAATATAGGCCAATTTCGACGAGATTGCATCAATCTGATAGTTAAATGCACTAATCGCATTGGACTTGGGTGTAGTGGACTCATTGCGAGGACTGGCACACTTGGAGAACATATTGTCAGGATCACACAAGTACGAGCCCATGTACGAGTTGATCAGCGGATAACACGTGCCGTTCGAGTTAATTCCCCAGTGATCTTTCCCTTTGCCGACAATCAGACTCAATTCAGCATTCACATCGCCTGAAGCTGGACATGTATCCACAGCACAAGTGTTCTCGGTAATACCAGCTTTCACTGACGCTGCAAATGTGGCGTAGTCTTGTTTCTCCTCTGCGTTCTGCTTGCAATAGTTGTTGGCAGCGTAGCGTAACCCTTGATACCAGGATTTGTGACCACGTTCCTTCCCGTAATAAGCTGTTGGTACGTCGATATAATTTGCTCCTGGTGTTAAGCAGTGTAGGAGTACAAACAGTAGCTGAAGTCTCCAGTTGACGTATCCACAGGGAAAAGTCGTAGTCGTCTGGCATTCCTGGTGCAATTTGCGGAGAAGATGAAATAGCCAACCCTCCGCCATCCAGAACATCGGTGCTCTGGGGTTCAAACCGTAGCCTGGATTGTCGTCACACGCACTGATCCGTTGGAAACTCGGGTTAAACATGTCGGCATCGCATTCATCATACGAGTACGGCCATATGCGGTTCGTCGAAGCGGAGAAATAACTCGCCCGAGGTTCCCAAGCATCCAAATTCCTGGCCACGTCGGATATAATTTGTTGTTGGCGACTTTTCCAGCCTTTCCTAGAGCGATATCGGGGTTGCCTGACTTACAGGAAGTAGCTCTCGGAAGTTGTGCTCGTACTTCTAACATCCCTCCTTGGTAGCAGAATTTATTCCAAGATTTGACCATTGTACCTCGGTAGAAAAAGTTGACGTCTGTGAAGCTTGGGAGGTGAGTATACATGTTGTATACATGGCTAGAATTGACCTCATCGACAGTTTTGATGAAGAAGCAGCAGGTTCCGTCGTCATCGCACTTGGTAGGCGTCATATTGTGCGAATAAAGCTCCAGAGCTCCATTGACACCGTCGGGTTTCTCCAGAGGAGTCCAGATATGATCATCTCCAGCTCGGAAGCTGCGGTTGGCCACATTGAACTCGTCCGAGGTCCCATCGTCGACCACGGGAACTATGGTCGGCTGACACGAACGACACCAAATAGACAAGTGCACAACGATCGCAGTAATTGACATCTTCATCTTGTAACTTGGACTGGGCGGCAGTGGATGAGTCGACTGGAGCGCTTGAATTCCAATCGAACGGTGCCAGAGGAATGAGGTCTTGTATCTGACACGAAAATTAGAGTGGGCTAAATCGTAGGAAACTGCCTATCCAGAAATACGTAGAATTCTGGTACCTGCGTCAATACTGCATAGAATCTGATACAAAAAGAAATCGTACGCTTAGCAACTTTCTCGCTGAATTCCGGAAGTTTAGGATACTAGATCACATCTTACGACTTGGCACGCTCAGCTCCGCTACATCCAGTCATCCTCCTATGCAGTTGTCTATCCATGGCACAACACTCAATAATCCAGAACTTAAGTTGCGAGAACCCCTGCTCAATCTCGTGGATTGAGGCGACGACTGCGGCGAGTTGGGCTTTCACGTCGAAGTTTGCGTCGTCGCCCCCGTGTAGACTGGTAGAGCCACACTGATGCAATCACTTCTCGCTCGAATGCTGCAACAGCTTGCCACGGTAGATTGGTAACCGGCTCCCACGTGAGCTCGTTATAACCTACCCATTGTACCAGATAGAAGGTGGAGTCGTTGATCCATCTCTTAGCATATAGCTTTTCGATCTCGTATTCGATTTCTGCGTTGCGTTCGTTCCGCGTTGCGAATAGCCCGCCTTGTCGGTTGCGATACTGGATGCCACCAACGTCTTCTTCGTCGCTGCTTCCAGGGTCGACTTTCTCGTGCTGTAAACGTTTGCGCCAAAAAGACCCATCCAGGCGTCGATTTCAAGCCCTAGCGTTCTTTTTGCGCCGCGTTAGAGGTGGCATAGTATCGACCACTTGCAGCTTCGGCTTCGACGATGACTTTTGGTTTGTGTGGGCGAGCAATGAGGCCTTACAAGAAAAATTATGAGAAGGTGCTCTGAGAAATCTACAACCACCGTTGTGCAATAGCTATTACCAGCTATTGCCCAACGGTGGCAGTAGATTTCTCAGAAAACTACGCATATTTTGCTCAGAAAACTATGTGTGCTTCAATATGCAGCGGTGTTCCACTACTTACCACCGTTATAGTGATAGAGCAGCCCATAATTGCAAAGTTTGAGCTGTCCGCCGTTATCCAACATCTCAAACAGGATATTCTCTAGTTTGACATTGTTTGCTGTAAAAGTGTAGGTTTTGTAATATATTAGTACGAAACATGATACTTCGAAGTAAATGTGGTAGTCGAAATACGGTGAAAGTGCAAATACTGAGCAAACGATGCCAAAATGCGTATGATATTCTTCACTTCATCTTCCGGAGACGCATTTTCCCGAGATTTCACGCGGTCAAACAGCTAAAATACACATACATATTCAAACATTGAGTGAGTTTAAACAGTCAAATGCTCAAATATCTCGCTAATGCGTGCCGTTCCACGAGGACTAAGTTCCATGATGATATAAAAGTGGTGACTTTCCTCGATTGGAGGAATCAACTTGCCTAACCAAAGTACATAATGAGCAATTGTAGCAAACGATGCCTAAAAACTATTTCTGATGTCATTGTAAAACCCAGAGCATAATACTACACAAATTGGCGAACGACATGCTGTGGTAGAGATCTAACTACTACCGCCAGGATCAAAGTTAGGATTACCTTTTTTGAGGATGTGGTTTTGAAGCGTACAGGCACAAAGCTACTGGCTTACATTTCCTCAGATACGCTTTCTACGTCAAAACGGACCCGACAAAGGAGCATATGCTGTCGGGTATAACTACTGCAAGGTAATTGGTCCTCTTAGCAAAAATAGGTACTACCCATAATCGAAATAGGTAGCCATACGCGTATATTAAAGATCACTTTGCTAGCGAATCAGACTGCTAGAATCATCGGAATGCTATTTGATTGGTCAAACCGAGGACACCGGCGAAAACGTGACTTCAACATTGAAGCTCGCAATGTTTTGGCGCGAAACAAGCCGCTTTGGAGGGTCAACGATTCAAACTCGCGTGCGGGGGCGTCGAGCGCGCGCCAAGCCCCAACGAGTCTCATTCCGCAATTTCCTTTCTTGTGAACACTCGGGTTCATACCGACTGCCCCCACCCATCTCTGCTAACCCACCCGCCGCCTGACACTGACCGATGTCACTACCATTGCACGCTGCCTGACACCACCGAAATCTCTGGTGGAAATGCTGCTCGATTCCCATGCTGTCGTCACGCTGGTCCACACATAAGATGCTAACGCCGACAAGTCGCTGTCGCCACGCCGGTCCGCACGCTGTACGATGCTAACGCTACATGGGCGCCGAACGTCAGTCATACATGCTGCCCGTTTGGAGCGATACCGTTGCTACACTGGTCGCTGCATTCCGTAACCGATGTGAACGCGAAACGGCTACGGCAACAACAATCTTGTGCGATGATTTGCTAGTTTACTGGTAAACGATCACGTAGTGGTGGTGCGTGCATATGCGGAGGAGGCGAGTACTGCTACCAGTGCGATGAAAACGAGTGTGGCGACGATATCGGAGGAGACACAGCAACGAGGTGCTTGCTACCAAAGGGCCGGAGACGACAGCCATCGACAGCTTGGTGATCGACAGCAAACTGGGAGACATGACGACGACGCCGCTATCTCCGACTCAACAGCTGCTACAACTGCTGCATGGAATCCATCGCGACGCGGCTGCTAGTGACCGTATTGGA